CGGATTGTTGAGCATTCATTAATGATGAAACCTTTGAAATTTTAGCACACCAAGTTTTCTCAATTGTGGATCGGTAGGTGATGCAAACTGCACTGAAGTGCCTGAATTGCCGCAAAATTGTTAGTGCTTTGATTCAATGACTTAGCCGCCATCCACACAAAGCCTATGCTATGCTATGTCCTTAGTGGGAGCTGACTTTTTGGATCTCTCACCAATAAGAACTTATTTTCTTGGATCAGTAGCAGTAAGCTCTCTTGGATCACTAATCTCCTGTCACAATTACCATTATTTCTTATTTGTTTATTTCTAATGGAGTCTTCTTGGAATTTGATATAGGATGAATTGAAAGTGGAAAATTTCTTGGTGAATGAATGCATGTTGGCAGTCATTTTAGAATTATATTCAGCTTCTTCAATTTTTTTATTAAGATCATGGAAAACTTTGCTTTGAGTTAGTATACTTGGTGGACGTATTCAGACATAAAAAATTCACAGATAATTGTTCTAAAGTATTGAAGGGAAGACATGATTTTGACTCCCAACAACTTTGAGATGGTATGTACCTAACAGTAATTATTCTTTCCAGGAAACTCACCTGCTGTGTGATATGTAATGGAGAAATTCTTTACTATTTTTTCAGCTGCCTTGGATCTAGGATGTGATGAGATGCTTATGGATTCCATGATGCAATTCTTTTGCTGAAATTCATATTGATGCTTGAAAGAGAAGCAAAGCTGATTCAACAGACAAAGTCTTTGGTTTTAATTATTTAAAAGCCTTGTGATGTGTTGGTTACCATATCCATCTTGTACATTCCAAAAGAACTCTCATTTTAGTAATGAAATCTCCATTCTGCCTTCTTTACAGGTGTTGCTGACCAGATATTAAGTCCACAGGTTTTCCTTCAATTCTATACATGAATTTGATTATTCTACAATATTGAAAGATAAATAATTTTGGATGCTTATAACGATTATCCAGTCTTTAGGAACTGAATTCTCCCCAAACCTATGTGAAACAAGCATATAGAGTATATGAGTATGGATGAAGTTTGGATCATGTACTTCTCAATGGTTCATCTAACAACTGCAAACATTCATGTGGATTGGCATAGAAGTAATCTTCTTCCTTGGGTCTATCTGGAATTGCATTTCGTTTCTTAGGGCTCCCCATTCTGTTGGCATGAACTTCCTTCACAATGGAAGAGAATTCATCCCAACTAATTGAACCATTATTGTACTGATCTACTAAACCAACGAGGAGCTTTCTGTCCACTGAAATGGTCTTCTTGAATCCTAAGAATCTGACATTGATTGAAAGACAATGGCAATATAAGATCAGAGCAATAAGCAACCCTTTTATTCTAGAGAGGTCAACTCTATTAAAAATAACTAGTATGTGGAGTAAAAATGAAGAAATCTCCCAATGAATGGAAACTACTTGATCTACCCGGTAATGTTAGACTGTGAATATATGTAAGAAACATGATAGTAGCATCAATACATTACCTTCGATGGCCTTCAACAACTTTAGCCATGTTTCCATCATAAGTAGGGATGAATATATCACTCTCTAAGGAGACAAGATAATCCAATGCTGCCATTTGCGACGAGTGATTTTCGAAGAATTTCAAATCTGATGCTTCCAGCAGAGTCTCTTTCCTGACCTGTGTCAATAATAGCAAAGCAAAATTTCAGAGACATGTACATACAAATGTTGCAAGTTGCTTTATGCTTCCTTCTACCAACCAAGTTAGGAAAAGATGAAGCCAGTGTTGCTATCCTTCTTTCACCACCATAAATTTCTCCAGCAGCAATGTAAATTTGAACATTTCGATCTATTCCAAGTGCTGATAACACCAGAGCAGTTTCTTCGGGTGTCAAAGGGCACAAACCTTCTTTCCTTCTCATTTCAGAATCAATGACTTTTTCCTTCCACCAAGGGTAAGCATATCTAATGATGTTCAATTTGCCAAAATTAATAAAAGGATTATGGAACTTAGGTTTCTCTAGATATATAACTATGGAGAACAAAAACACAGTTACCTCATTCTTGTTAGCTCTTCCTCCTCCTCACTATTGCAACCATGAGTGCAGCCAGAGAATGCCAACATGTCCATTTCATATCTGAGATGAAGAACCAAGAAAGGACCTTTTTCCCTCAGAATCCCCACAATCCTTCTACCCAACTCCTCTATCTGGGAGGTGAATCTCAAGGCATTAAAATTAACACGGCAACGCAGTTTCTGAATCTCAAGAGGCAATCCATTATTAGCAAGCCGAGCATCAGTTTTATTCAACCGTACAACTTTGTGCTTCTGAACAAGAGGAAGAATCTGCCAACAAATTCTTTGAGAATCAGTAGAATTAGCAGGATGAAGAAATAAGGAAACGACAAGGCCTGTCCTGAGTTTCTTATCTCTGGGGAACTAACCTGATCAAGGTAATAAGAAATGTCAGACCAACTAATTGGTTGCAGAGAGTAGAACATTCCTGATTCAACTCTTTTCTTGACCCGTGGTGGTAGCTCCTTCAGTATACGAACCTCATCCCTTAGGGAAGTAATAAAGTGATCAACATCAAATATGTCTTGGAACTCACTGTTCATAGAATCAGATAGGGAAATTAAGAACAATTCCTCATTGTCTGGGGCAAGAAAGGGGAGAACTCTGGATTTTAGCCAAGGGTGCTTGAACTTGAAGAAGAGGAATTCAATATCACGTACCTTGGATCATTCCAAAATGAGGTTTTATCCAGTTCCGGGACAATTAGAGTGACATTTAAATATCTGGCGATGGTGACCATGTCACATATCTGCAAGATAGATGCAGGATAGACGAGGAAAATAAATATATCAACAGGAACGCCATTTCAAATATTGAGACAGATTCACCTAAAGCCAGTAATCAACTCACCGCTGCTCGCATTTGATTAAGTCCTCCATTGCAGGAAACCATGAGATAACCATTATTCTTATAAATTCCTGAAAAGAAAGTCACAAAATCAGGAATAGACAGCTGAATTTAGGATTCCATTCTTTTCATAAAAAGAAAACCCCCACAAGGGTAAAAAGGCAAAAGAATCACAGCTAGATTAACATAGGAAATAGAGAAAAGCAGATAGGAATCAAATCTTTGATGAGGCATCTTTTACAGAATTTGCCTCTCCATGAGATGAGAGAATCTTATGAAGATATTAAGAACACAGCAGTGGATTAAAGAAACTATGAATCAAAACCAATTCAGAAGATTAAATCTGCAAATTCCTTCAAAAATAGACTAAAATGATTCCGGGCATATAATCTACATTGCTTTCGCTTCTCAAAAAAGGAAGAAGAAGTAAAATTAGGATAAGAAGATATTCACTTACTCTTTGGAGGAAGAATGACTTTATCAGGGAAAGAAGAGGATTCAACAGCCAGAGGCAAATTGGAATGGCTGAAACAAGAAGGCCAACCCTTCAACAATCTTGACCCCCACATCTCTCCCAGCGTCATCAACTGAAGAAAACAGGTCCAAAGCAGTACCATTGTTATTGCTCGGATCATCCATAGCTTCATCCGAGACCTCAGAATCATTGAACTTCTCAACTTCTCAACCTTATTTTCACCAAAATTTTTCATCTTCATTCTTCTCTTTCCTATACCCACTTTTCATCAGACCCCACACACCGCAATCCCAAACTAACTTAAATCTCCAATGGCCAATTCTAACACCCTTGAATTCGACATTGACAAAATGTCTACTTGAACTTAAATGCAAGGTCCAAGTCTCAGATTAAGATAGTGCAAAAATTCTGAACTTGGAATACTATAATAACAGAAAGAAGGGAAATAATAATAATAATAATATTGACAAAATGTCTACTTGAACTTAAATGCAAGGTCCAAGTCTCAGATTAAGATAGTGCAAAAATTCTGAACTTGGAATACTATAATAACAGAAAGAAGGGAAATAATAATAATAATAATAATAATCTATCTCCACGGAAGACAAGGTGATTCACAAAACTCAACAATCCCTGGGGTCTCTTGAAACTCTAACCTTTTCTCGAATACCCAAAACTGTGCATTAAAAAAATAACACCCCAACTTCATAGTTCCATATCTTAATCGGAAAA